TATCGTAAAAAACGGTTAGAATTGACATTTAGTGACCAACTGTGGGTCATAAAAGAAATACTTGAATAGAAGACGAAAATGGCTTTCAACGAAATTGTTTACTACGGATGTTCTGGCATTTCGATTGCTTCGTCCAAAATATGCTATTTCCTAGGGCCTTCGGTCCCTGGGTTATCCACATCTGGCAATTTTCCTCTTCCCAGGGACGGACGTAGATGGCAATAAGGTTTGACTCGAGGACAACATTTTTCCTCGCTTGATTTGTAGGGGTTCCGTCATACAACGGAACATTCTCCCCCCGTTGAGAGGGTACTGATCAAGATCAAGTTGACAGGTATGTGTGATGGTGAGTGGTTGTTTATGTTTGTATGTCTGAATTTACTTGGCTAATATTAAGATATATATGATTGGGAACTTAAAATGCTACATTACAATGTTGGCGACGCTTGGTATGAAATAGGAGTGTTGCCTTATGACCTATAAGATTAACAATAGTGAAACCTTTTTCCTATTCACATATTTCATGTCCTATCATGGTTAAGTTGTTCTCTCGTGGTTGATCCTCCGATTGACACAATAACGGTACAAGTTTTTTCACGCTCCGGTCGAACACGTTCGAGGCTGTCCTGACAGTAGCTACGCGAACAATGCCGTCGGAGCCTGGGTGATTTTTAATGATTCGTCCGAGAGGTCAGTGCATTGAGGGCACGTTGTCTTCTCTGAGCAGAACGATTGCACCTTCGATGATGGGATGTTGTCCCCTGGTCCATTTATTGCGATTTGCCAATTCATTCAGATACTCACGATGCCAGCGCTTCCAGAAATGTTGTTTCAATTGTTGAACACGCTGCCATGCTGATAATCGATTTGCAGTGGTTCCTTGTAGATCGCGATCACGCAAGCTCGTGAGTGCATCACCGATGAGGAAATGACCTGGAGTGAGTGCGAGGAGGTCGGAGGGGTCTGAAGAAAGTGGAGTGAGGGGTCGAGAGTTGAGGATAGCTTCGACATCGATAATCAGTGTATTAAGCCCTTCAAATGTGAGTAACTCCGGGCCTACGACGCGTTTTAGATGATAT